ACTGACCAAGATTTACATATATTCGTTGAAATAATGGAATTCCATGATTTGCGCAGATTCTGCATCCACAACTTAGTTGCTTTAAAAAAAATTACAATAGCACTAGACTTCTGTGTCATAAAGTCAAGTTAAAATTGTATTGATCAACTAGTAAACACTTCACTGTGGTATGTAGTGAAGAGAATAATAAAATTATGAAAACTAGGTAATGTATAACTTGAAGGAGCTAAAAAATCCTGTTGAAAGACAAGGCTACCACTTTCTATCCACTCCCCACAATCCCCTCTCTCTCTCTCTCCCTCTCTCCCTCTCTCTCTCCCTCTCTCTCTCTCCCTCTCTCTCTCTCCCTCCCTCTCTCTCTCCCCCTCTCTCTCCCCCCCCACCCTCTCTCTCCCCCTCTCTCTCTCTCTCACACACACACACTCCACCAACACAATAGTACCAGAAAGGAATATAAGGTAGTGGAATGGTTGGTCTTGATTACAGTCACTGGCAGGGTGTTTGCAGTAGAAGTGGATTATAAGTTAAGACTTGAAAGGTTGAATTTTGATGGGCAAATAGGAGCAGGGAGATTTTTATATTGCAGAAACATCATCAGCTGTACATAGGAAGATAAAAATAGACATACTATTGGGATCAAGAGACTAGTCAGAATAAAAGTGGCCAAGACTCATGTCTGCGGCATGGGGTCCAAGGTTTTAGAGACATTAAGTCCTAGAAGTTAAGCTGAGAGATTAGGAGTATATGTACTGGAAGACACTGTAGATCCAGTAGCTATTAAATCCACATGGTTTTTCAAGCATTGGAGCTTCAGATCTGGGAATTAATTTGGTAAATCACAAAAACACAACTACTTCATACTAAAAAAAAAATGAACTTAATTTTTAAGATTACTTTTGAGTCTCTCCAGCATTTGGGAGTCAGCACATATATACTCTACTGAGTCATCCACTTGCCCATCCATGACTCTTCCATTTGCGGAGCTTCTGGGCAAAACACTGCTTTGCCAACATTGGTTTGGGAACTACTATTTACAGTCCTGGGCTCAACAGCATCTGAAGAAGAAGGGCCAACTGGGACATAGTCTTTCCAATGTTCTCTGAGGTCAAGGAGTACTGGTCTTTTCAGTGGAGCAGTAAAAATGATACCCAGGTTTTTCTGCCACTAGGTGTGGGCACTGTATTAATTTCCTAGGGCCTCCATAACAAAGTACCCCAAACTGGATGGTTTCAAGCAACAGTAATTTATTGACTTGAATTTCTGGAGGCTAGAAGTCTGAAGTCAAGGCATTGGCAGGGCCATGCTGCCTCTGAGAACTGTAGGAAAGAATCTTCCCTTGCCTGTTTTAACTTCTGGTGTTTACCATCAATCCTTGTTGTTCCTTGATTTCCAGATGCATCTCTCCGCTAACTGCTTCTACGTACATCACAGGGCCATCTCACTTCTGTGTGACTGTATGCATTTTATCTCTCACAAGGGCACAATTCATATTGTGTTAAGGCCCCCCCCATACTCCAATAGGACTTCATCTTAATTTGACTACATCTATAAAGACTCTATTTTCAGAAAATATCATATTGACAGGCACCAGGCATTAGGACTCCAACACAGTTTTTTTTGAGTGACACAATCCAACTCAAAACAGAGACAATTATCTGAGAGATGAAAATAAGCCTCATGTGGATCAATAGAAACAGCTTTTCCTGAAGCTCAGGAATTTTAGGAATACGCTAATAGTGCTGGAAAATTCCTGAGCCTTGATTCTGTCCTTCCACACTTACTTCTACTTTTTGAGAGCTGAGTTTTAGTTATAAGGTATATTGCTTGAATGAAAAAAAAACGCACAAGATTATGTAGAGATTTGAATTTATACATCCATTTCAAATTCATCACTATGTTTGATTTTCACAACAGAATGTGTAAGTCACAAATTATTATTGCTGACGGTTTAAATAAAACTTGTTTTCCACATGAGTGTCTGAACTAATTGAAAAATGAAACAAAATTCTAAGCAGATCAGCATGTTATTGCCTTATCGCCTAATTATAGTCATCTAAGAATATCATCCAGCTTCTTAACACTGACAGACTTGCCCGCCCCTGGCAATCAGCTCTTCAGTGGGGCCTCTAAGGGAAGACCTGGCCCTTTTACAGCTTCTTCCTAAAAAGAAAAGAGAGGTGCTGAACAGAGCGCATTCATGTTATTCTCCATAAATTTACCATTCAAATCACACTATTCCAATTTTTCTGGAGCAGAACAAGTAAAAAGGTAGAAAGAAGCTAGGAATGTTACCCTAATTGTGTTCTCATCACCTGCAAGGAAACATCAAAATTAGCAAAGAAACATTTGTTCCCAACTTTAATTACCAACGTTTTTTTTTTCAGATGAGAAAAATGAGACTCAATGAAATACGATGATTTACTTAAGTTTTTTAGGCTATCTGCTAATTCTTTAAATTGTTTGATGCACCATCATTGCCTTCTGTTTATATTATACACATGTTAAGCATAATATGGTATCTTTATGTTATGCTTGTCATATGGATTCTTTTAAGATATGATTTTTGTACCAGCAAACCCTGCTATCATGTATTTTGGATGATATAATTAATTCTTAGAAATCATGCTTTGCCATATTTTCCCAGTCAAAATGTATCATGTTGGCATCTTAAACTACAGTTGAACTCTGTAGTGCTCAGAATAACTGACTCCAGGGAAAATAAACCCTTTTATTATTTTAAGAACAAAAGTTGAACCTTGTCAAAAGAAGTTAAGGATGTTAAGTTGCCCTTTTGTAGCAGGAGTCTAATTATAGCCAATAATTGGCAATGATTCTATGACTATTATAGCCATCAGGTCTTATGTCTACAAAATCAACTTGTAAACATATTAAGGTATCAATCATGCTTAGATCTGTCTCTTTGGTGTTTCATAGCACTTAGCACAATCATAAATTATAAATATGGTATTTATTTTCTTGTCTATATCTTGCATGAAAATATAAACTCAATTAGGAAAAGAATCACATTTGTTTTTTTCATTCTTGTTTCCAAGCACACTTTAGGCAAATTAACACAAATAAAGTGATTGAAGAAATATATGAATAAAACATTGTTATTTTTTATACATGTCGAACAATATAATACTTCTTTCATTCATATTTTACTTAGGTGATTTACATCTTTTTTAAGGTCTTAAGGCACTAAAATTTTTCTGACAGTTTTGATTTCCTTCCTCTTAGACAAGAATTTAGTATTGAGAGTAACAACATTTTATGGGGGTATGCATCCCTTGTCTTCACTACTACCCCAACTCTATTTATCTTCTAATATACCATGTCCTGTTTGTTTTGTTTCTTCCTAATTCTTAGCATAGTCCTTGTCCTGTTTGGGATTAATCCATTCATGCCTCAAAACAAGCATTTGCAGATACTTGAGTCAAGTTGGTAAAATTTATTGAATGTCGACATTTCAGATACTATAAATAAAGTATTATCTGTTAATATTTGTATAATGCTAGAACAAAAGTGGGAAAAGTATTTTTCCTGTCATTATTGAGTGTTATGGCCTTGGGTATTAATATTAATTTCTTTCAAAAAATAAAGACACTAAGCTCAAGAAAATTTGGGTAACTTCCCCGGTTCCACAACCTTCTGTTCCCACTTGTTTCACACTTCATTATTAATAGGAACTTGTATACTATAGTAAGCTGATTAAGAGAATTGACTTTGGAGCACAAGTGGCTTGGATCTGCACTCTTGCTAGCATCTACACCTGTTTGCTCTAAGACTTCTCTGAACTTTGTTTCTTCACCTGTACATTGGGAAAGTTTCTTTAATTGTGGCCCTTTACAGATACATCATGCATTTATAAGAGATGATCAATTACCGGCCGGGCGCAGTGGCTCAAGCCTGTAATCCCAGCACTTTGGGAGGCCGAGGCGGGTGGATCACGAGGTCAGGAGATCGAGACTATCCTGGCTAACATGGTGAAACCCCGTCTCTACTAAAAATACAAAAAACTAGCCGGGCGTGGTGGCGGGCGCCTGTAGTCTCAGCTACTTGGGAGGCTGAGGCGGGAGAATGGCGTGAACCCGGGAGGCGGAGCTTGCAGTGAGCCGAGATCACGCCACTGCACTCCAGCCTGGGCAACACAGCGAGACTCCGTCTCAAAAAAAAAAAAAAAAAAAAAAAAAAAAAAAAAAAAAAAAAAAAAAAAAAAGATGATCAGTTACCTTGGGGTTATTCTGCTAATAAGTCAGTGGTAATCTGAGAATTATTGAAGCTATATGGCAATTGAATGAAAATGTCACTGCTTAGGGCTCCCATAGCAATTTCTAAGAATTCACTTTCTGCGTGGCTAGCTTCTTGTGAAAGTAGCCTTTCATCTTCTGTGGATATTTCCCATGACAACATCTGTAATCTTTTACCTTTCCAGAAGCCCCTGTACTTGGCTATTCTTATTCCCATTTCAACTCAACATCCACAAGCATTTTGTGCATGAACTACTTTATGCAGACACTACTTTCTTTAGAATGGCCTTTTATGCTTCTGACCTTGGTAATACATAAAAATTCACTGCCAGCCAAGGTTTAATCTTCGTGTTATACAGACAGCCATGCCCACCAGACAAAATATCATTATAAAATACTGTTCTGTCAAGGGGTAATATTTTATAGTTTCTTGAGTCTTTCCAAAATTTCTAGTGTATTTGTTTGCCCTTGAAACTTTCAGTGAATAATAAATATCATCCTAGAATATAACCAATAAACATGTAAATTTTCCACTGGGCAAAAAGAATATAATTTCCCTCACTATGAGAGACATGTTTTTGATTAAATGATCATTGGTTCCTAGGATCTAAAATATAACAATGGATAAGGTCAGGGTGGACCTCTTATGCTGGGACCTTGTAGCGCTAAGCACTATGCAGAACTCGGTTCCCCATTTCTCTTTCCTTTCTTCTTCTGTCTCATTTTCACTTTTAATTGCTTTTCTCCCAGACAGGTACAGATGGAGGCAGTAGCATAGTAAAACATCAAAATCAAGCATCCAGCATCTGAATCCAAACAACACAAAGAACAAGGTAAGATGCCAACAGATAAGTACCCAAAACAGAGTTTATGTTTTCCAAAGGTTTTCAATTATATCCTTATCACGCTCTGCAACTTCATTTGCTGTCCCCATTAGTTAGTTCCCTATTGGCTATGTTTGCAAGGTCATCATTTCTTAACATTATTTAAAAGCCTTTAACTATGTAATCTCTTTGCCTCTGGAGATAACAATCCTAGTTTGTGTTATAAAGAGTATTGCGTGTTGTTTTCCATACAGCATTTTTAGATCCCTTATCCCATTAGGCCTTCATGACCCTTTGCACCATGTAGGACACGAAATTTTGTTTCAGGTGTCCAAATGAGACTTGGAGAAGCTGAGTGGCTTACATGAGGCCACAGAAATGATAAGGGCCTCAGCTCCTCTTTGCATCTGTAAACACACCTTATATCCTAAGAACACTCAAGGGGGTTCTCAGAAAGCTCCTTAAAGTGATAAGTTCAGAAGAGCATCCATGTAATTATGGTTCCATAGATTGCTCTGGGTTTCTGTATTTGGGACTGGAAAGATCTGAGAAGCTCTGACTAAAATATGGTCACATTACATTTGCTCTGCATTTTCCTCACTGTGCAACATGTAGATAATAACTGCATCTGGAAGTATCCCCCAAATGAAATTGCAGCAGCTTGGGGGATGATTTATTGTCATTGTCACAGTCCTGTCTGATGGTCTCAGAACCCCAGGAAGGGGTGTTTAGGCCACTATAGAAGAAAACACTGGAGCCCAGGAAGAGTCAGAAATTTCCCTTACTGTTTTAGATTTTCTCACTGCTTAATGTACTATGGAATTATTTTAGCATTCAATATCTATCTTAAAGTGATGTTACTCCAGAGTTGCTCTGAATGTTATAGAGGGAGCTATGATAATTGGGCACATACAGGTATCAAGTATTCAGCTTGATGCTTTAAATACATAATTTATTTAATATTAGTAAAATTATAAGGAAGTTTTATTTGCCTACAATTTATGATATTAAAATTGAACCAAGGAGGTGACTATTTAGTATAAGTCAATCAAGTTTAAGATTAGCAAGGACAAAATTCTATTATAAAATGTTGCCTAAAATACAAGTGCTTCTCTCATATTAACCAATAATGGTTTATTAATCAAATGGCTCTTAAATCTAACTATCTATATATTGAATTTCTTGCCATTTTTTTCTATGAAGCATCCTTTATTTTCCTACTTCAACTTCATAGCCAGCATTTTCAAGGCTCCAAATTTTATTGCGACCAATCATGTCACCAACCTTTCTCTACATTAGCATTTCTTAATGTTTGAGCTTTAAGCCTATGAGTCAATACAAGAATCCATAATTAGACGTGTGTTTTCTCCATCAGTGGACTCTATTGGTGGAATAGTTTCATATTGGATTCTGCAAAAATATAACATTTCAATATCTACTTTTGAGGTTATAATATTGTAAGCCACATCCCTAGATACTTGTTATAATTAAAACTTTAGTTTATTGGACTCCTATGTGTTTTCTAACATTAGGTGATGTAATATTTGCAACAAGCCTACATGTTAAGCATTGTTCACAATTTACAGGGGGTAACCTCAAATTCAGAAGAGTTAAATAATCAGTCAAAGTTGCATAGATAATAAATGATGAGGCTTCCATCTGAACACAATTCTGGCCAACTTTGACATCTATTGTTGTTCAGTGCTAACTTCAGGTCTTAGAAGCAAGCAATGTTTTCATGCAAGGGTGTGTCAGGATCTTCTTTGTTTTATACATATTAAGTTCTGTTATAGACCCAAGCTACAGACAGAACTTTAGCTCAGAGGTTTTGAAATCCCAGAAAATATGTCATGAAACTCAACATTTTAATAATACTAAACTATTTTTAGTTAATTCTATTTTTCATCAGAAGCAAGAGATAGTACAAGAGTAGCTGATGCAAAATCAAATTGCCAGCCAAAACAATTCTAACTTTTCCTAGATAAGCCTCTGCAATCAATATATTATTGAGCCGAGAAAAAATATCTAGCAATGCAGGGAATGTAAGTTTACATTAATGACCAGGGTCTTGGTCCAGCCTGCTTACACTCAAAATTTATCTTAGATACATTGAATGAATGCTTATTATGAGAAAATTGGCTGTTGAGAACAGGAATCTGCCTCAAAATGTTAAGATCTATTTGTAAGCTTAGCTAACCTTCATGTATTTCAAGACAAGCATAAACTATAAATCCTGGATTAATATACATGTGGTAGAGACAAGAAAAAGTATGAAAGACAAAGCAAGCTTTTGATTATATAGGGACACAAATTACTCCATCCTAGAGTTGGAAAGGACATTAGAGATAAGTGGGTCTGACCTTTTATCATATTTTATACATTATAATGGTAATATATTCCTAGGAAAGAAAACACAAAAACTCTGAAAAGAAAACCAGGAAAAATAACTCACACCTAGTCCTAACACTCAAACACAAACACAATATACTGTGCAGAATTTTTGTTTTTTCTTTCTATGAAAAAATTATTTTAACACAGTTTAAACCACATTGTATATAGTTTCATATATATATATATAAAAATTGTATAACTATATATAATTTGTATAGTTTGTTTTATTCAATAGTATATCATAAACATTATTCTATGGGATTATATAGTATTTCAAATAATAGGCCAAGAGAGATGTCTCATGCTTGTAATCCTAGCACTTCAGGAGGCTGAGACAGGAGGATTGCTTGAATCCAGCTGTTCAAGCCAGACTGGGCAACATAGCAAGACTTTGTCTCTACAAAAAAATAAAAATAAAGTTAGCCAGGCTTCATGGTACATGCCTGTAGTCCCAGCTACAAGGAAGGATGAGGTGGGAAGATTGCTTGAGCCCAGGAGTCCAAGATTTCAGTGAGCCATGATTGTACCACTGTACTCCAGCCTGAGTAACAGAGCAAGAATCTCTCTAAAAATAATAGTTATAATAATTTTAATGTTTAAGTAATATTCTACTTGGTGAAAAGATCATAGTTTGCTTAGGTAATCTCTTAGAATTGGATGTTTTTACTATTTCCCATTTGGGACCATCATATAAAATTCTACAACAATCATTTCCAAAATCAAGTTTTTAGTTTCTTCATATTAATTTTTAAACTAGGTTCCCAAATGTGTAATTACTAAGTAAATATATATGTATGTTCAAATTGCTTTTCAAATGGTTCTGTTACTCGTAATGAAAAGAAAATCTCATTGTCCACACTTTCACTAGTATTACAGAACACAAACACACATACACCTACACATGCTGTTGCAGGAATCAGAGGACTGGAGAGACCAAATGGGTGAAATAGAAGGATTTATTGAGTGCACTTCAGGTCCAGCAGATTCACATCCAAAAAGTTGAGCCCTGAACAAACACAGGGTTTCACTTTTATACATGCAACCAAGGGGGTTGGCCATCTAGTGGCATGAAACTTACAGGGCAGGCAAGCAGGCTTACAGAAACAGAACAAAGGCAGTGAATCATACAGTGACAGCTTTTGCAACTTGAGGAAAAACAGGAACTTATCAAGCTAAGGCAGGGTTTACAGCTGGTACCTGTCTTACTCAAGTATGTCTTGTGACCTTGTTATTTTACACGGAAGAGAAACAGGAATCTGTAAAACTTTGTGAAGTAACCTTGAGTTTCACTAAGGAAGGATTTACAAAAATGGAGGGGGAAGCTGGGAGAGGAGAAAAACCTGTTTTCTCGTCCTTGCCTATAACTGGGAGGAGAGGGGGCTCTGAAGCACATTCCTTAAGGGCTCTGGTTTTGCAGATAATGTTATGTTATCAAATCCTTTTCAGAGCTCTGCTGCCTATCGCTAGGTTTTGGAGCGAGTCATCCTAGCAAGAGAAGACTTGTTCTTTTCTTTTACTTGTTCTTTCTTTTTACATTTTCTGCTTCATTCCCCCAATTTGATGCTTCTTGTAAATGAAGTTTTATAGAAATCATCATCATCAGAATTTATCCCTTCATGAGGCCCTAGTTTCCTATTCAGCAGGGGTTGATATTAGTAGTTTGCCTGGTTACGGGAGCCTCAATAGCTGACTGCACGTTCTTAACAAGGAGGGGCAAAAGACAAGGAAGTATGAGGGAGCCCCCTAGTATGGCCAGAACTATTCCTACTAAGGTTTTAAATCCTCCAAGAGATGGAAACCAGCCCCTAAAGAGTGAATCTGGAGACCAAGTCTGCCCTGGGACATGGGCTAATTTCTGGATTCTGGCAGCTGTTTGTTTGATGACTTTTCTATTGTCATCAATCTCTAGACAGCAATTAGTTAGGTTGAACTTTCTGCATACTTCTCCTTCTTCAGCTAGGAGGTAGTCTAAGGCCAGTCTATTTTGGTAGATGGCATTTCTCATTTGTGTAGCTTGCCAGGCTAACAGATTTAAGACTGTTACAGTATCATTAGTAATTAGCTCAAGTACTGCCTGTAATTTTATGATGCGGTTCAGCATGTATATAGGGGTGCAGTATCATCCCCACTTTCCATCTTCTGTCCAGGTGGCTGGGCCATAGTATTAGATTATTCTTTCAGGGGACCATTTATTGTCTTTCCAATTCCCTATGGTTATACCATCTCCTATGGTTATGCCCCTCTTATTTTTCCTTTTAGTTACATCATAGATGGGGTACCCTGAGACTTCCCCTTGCCTTAGCGGGATTAGAAAGAAAGAGGGCTTAATTGTTCTGAGTACACAGGCCCTTGACCATTTAGCTGGCAGTTGTTGATATGCCTGTGGCCCACAGATCCAGTAGAGGCCAGTGGGCACCTGCCAGGTATTTGGAACTTCAAGCCTGTACCAAGAGTGGTTTAAAGGAGGGAAATGGGAGAATGGACCTGGGTGCAGTGATTCAGAGTCATTCTTTATGCCTCTTCATAAAGTTTTTCCTAGTGTCTCATTGTAATATTGCTGTCCTAGGCAAGTTAATTCTCCTACTGGGTCTGTACAGGCTTTTCCCCAGCGAGCAATG